TGCTGCTTCTCCTTCCAAGTGCTGGCCCTGCTTTGCTCAGCACCTGTTCCTCGGGCGAAAGTTGGGCTGATGGGGCAGAAAGGCCAGAGAACGTGCAGCTTGAGTGCCAGTCTCCTTCTGAGCCTGAAAGGGCTCTAGCTTGTTTGAGTTTCCCTCCCAGGGAGACAGCAGATCCAAGCAGCTCAGTGGATCCGCCCTCTCCCACGTTGCTCCTTCTCCAATCAAGGAAATGGGATGTAAGGAAATGAGCCAAAAAAGTATCCAGGGTGACTCGGAAGGCATGATCTGGGGGCTGGTGGGCACCCTCTCCTGCTCGTCTCCCTCCCCAACTCTCCAGATCCCTCCCCCACCTCCCTTCCAGAACCCCAAGAAATTCTTGTCTGGGCTGCAGGGGGGCTGTGTGATCCTTCCCCATCCCGGGGGAGCAGCCTCTCTACTGGTCAAGGATTTTAGTGATTATTCAGAGATTAGAACAAAGATTTCTCTTCCTACTATAGGAGAAAAAGAAACATTTCCTAGTCCTTTCTTCCATAGATGACCAAGGACAAGAGAAAAGTCTCTGCTAGAAAATTCTAGTTGCCCACCCATTTCTCTGCCCATCTAAGCCTCTTGTCCCAAGCCTTAGGCACCAGGGGACCTTGTTTCCTAAGAATGGAGGCCCCTTCTCTGCCTCCCTTTCAAGCTCCTTTCCTTGGGGAGCATCAGATGTAGGTAGATTTGGCCATGCCATGTTGTAGAAGAAAAGGAACGTCTTAGGCTGGGGGCTCCTTTTCAGTTCTAGGGGCCGGGCAAGGTCCTTTCTGAGTCCTAGAGGACAGGCTGGGAGATGGCACCGGCCACAGACTGGCAGGGAGCCAGGGCAGGTGCTTTGGAAAAGGAGCCAGGTCCTCGGATGCCCGGGCACCTGTCGGGGATGAACCTTTACTGTGTGGTTGTGGCCCCGCCTCAGTTTCCTCTCCAGGCCTCAGCTTTTTTATTTTTTAATTTTTTAAAATTGAAGTATAGTTGATTTACAATGTTGTGTTAGTTTCTGGTATACAGCAAAGTGATTCAGTTATATATATACATATATATATATATATTCTTTTTCATTGTAGGTTATGACAAGATATAATACCCTGTGCTATACAGTAGAAATTTGTTGTTTATTTTATATAGTTTGGATCTGCTAACTCCAAACTCCTAATTTATCCCTCCCTTCCTCCCTTCCCCCTTTGGTAACCATAATGTTTGCTATGTCTATGAGTCTGTTTCTGTTTCATATATAAGTCCATTTGTGTCATTGTTTTAGATTCCACATGTAAGTGATATCATATGATGTTTCTCTTTCTCTGTCTGACTTCACTTAGTAGGATAATTTCTAGGTCCAACCATGTTGCTGGAAACATCATTATTTCATTCTTTTTTATGGCTGAGTAGTATTCCATCACATACATACCACATCTTTATACCAGTCATTTGTTCATGGACATTTAGGTTGCTTCCATGTCTTGGCTACTGTACATAGTGCTGCTATGAACATTGGGTGCATGTATCTTTTCAAGTTGGGGTTTTCTCCAGATATATGCCTGGGAGTGGGATTGCTGGATCATATGGTAAGTCCATTCTTAGTCTTTTAATGAATCTCCATACTGTTCTCCATAGTGGCTGCACCAAACTACATTCCCACCAGCTTTTTAATTCGGTAAAATCTTGGTGTTGAATTTGATCTTTAAGATCTTTTCTAGCCCTTACTCTGTGCCATCACCATCTTATCCCCCAGACTAATAGTGACAAAAGGAGAAACAGCAAACACCAAACCATCAGTTTGGAGTCCACATCTACACACAGCATTTCAAAAACTGAATGGATGATTACAGTAGAAGAGAGACAGGAAACCGAGGGGAAAATTGGAATGCACATAGTCTTGGACGAAGTCCAAGGCTCAGTCACCTGACGTCCCCTAGGCTTCCTCCTACCCTGTCACATAAACACGAACATAGACACAGGCACACACATGTACCTGGCCATGATACTTACAGGATGGAGCACAAGATACAACCAACAAGGGAAGGAGAGAACACCTGCCATTAGAACTTCTGCGCATCAGGCAGCTGCTGCCTCTTCTGGTTCTGCTGAATCACGGACCATCACACAACTGGGCCCCTGACACCACAGGATGACCTGCATCCTTGGAGCCCCCAACACAAAAACAGCAGCAGCCTGGCGGCCTGACCTCAGTAGATTCAGAGGCCCACACTCATAGTCTGCTTCCAAGGGCACAGAACAAAGGTTATCTGGGGACCCAGGGCCAGAGTAAAGCTCTCTCTGGGCAATGTTTGCTTGTATCCACAGTTGGCTGACCTCTACACACTGGGCAGCACCAGCTCCCCTGGGGCCAGTCATTAGGATGACTTCCCAGAGCAGGAGGCCACTTGCCTCCAGCCCTCGGCTGACCAGCAAAAATGATGGCAAGAGGGTATATGAGTACATTGCCTGGAAAGGGAAGTGGGGCAGTATCTCGTGAATTTGCCAAGTGTATACCTCACAACAAAGCAATTCTCTTTATAGGGATTTATTCTTCAAATATATTCACACACGTGTAAAATCACACGATTACAATGTCATCTATTAGGAAAGATTGGAAGTAAATCAGATGCCTCTGAATAGCCGACTGGTTTCACAGATTATGGTACATCCAAACAGTGGAATACTAAAATGGCAGCTTTTGTGTTTTGGCATGGAGAGGTCACAGATACATATTGTTAAAGTAAAATATGCAAGGTTCAGGACAGTGGGTACATTTTACTGCTATTTGTGTAGAAAAGGACTGACAAAGGCAAATGCATCTGGAATTGACTTGTTCATATATAAAATATTACTGGAAAGAGAAACAAGAGACTAATGGTGGTGACCTGCTAGGGACTTGAAAACCAGGATGAAGGCAATTTTCTATCCCATGCATTTTTTTTTAATGGAGGGACTGGGGATTGAACCCAGGACCTCGTACATGCTAAGCTCACACTCTACCACTGAGCTATAACCTCCCATACATTTTGTATGTTTTGATCGCTGACTAATGTGAATGCATTACCTATTCAAAAGATAAAATTAGGAAACACAAAAGCACAAAAAAAGAGAATAATCCCACAGATCAAGGCAGGGGTTGGGGGTTGGGGGACTATGGGAGGGAGGAGGTCAGCCTGAGAATGGCGGTGGTGGCCGGGGTGGTGGGTAGGTGGGTGAGGGGGGACGGCATGGCTGGAGCAGTGGGGCCCCTTGCCAGGTGCTGAAGCACTGCTCTCTGCTGGCTCATAAAAGCCTCCTCCAACAGGGGCCAGAATTCCTCTCCACATAATCTCCTTTGGTTATCAGCCTATTCATTCCCCAAATGCAGGCACACTCACATAGTTTGGGAAATCTTGTCTTTTTTGAAACATAAACATTTTTACACACTTCCTCAGAATAACAAGGTCACCCCTAAAGCAATGGCAGGCTTTGAACTCTGAAGTTGCTGGACTTCCTGGCACCCCTCTCCCTGCCTTGTCCCCTCCCCACACTCTGGTGTCCTGAGGGTGAGGGGAGTGGGGACTGCTGGATGACATGGATTTGTTTTAGAGATGACTGGTTGAGAATCTTATGACACCCCTTTCAGATAACTGGCAACACTCTGGGGTGTTGCAAAACCTGGCTTGGGAGTGACTGCCCTGATGGTCAACAGGAGGCCACAGTCAAGACTCCAGCCAAGTGGGGCCGTCACCACCAGGGCATGACTGGGGGTGGGGGGCAGAGGCCAGACCTCTCCACCTCCACTCGCTAGGCCTGCTTGGGGTACTGCATGTAAAGGGAAGGCATTTGCTTGGAAGCCACTGAACAACCCTCTCGTGGGTGAGCTACTAGGTCCCCAGGAGACGAATTGGTTCTTTTTCCTTGGGGATAATTTTAGGTCCTCACTTCCCCTCCAGTCTAACTCCCAGCCCCTGGCCTCCCAGAGGGATTGGTTAGACCAGTGACTATACAGAGTTCTTTTGAAATACAGAGCTGTTCAAAAGAGACTCGCTAAGGCATGGCCCTGGAGGCATTTTCCATTATAATTTTTTTTTCCCTTTTGCCCCATTGTTTCAGAGGAGAAAGCAAGACAGCTCAAGGATCAGGTTCTAATAGGACTTAATAAAGGTATTATATCTTCCTGCCTGTCCTACAACTTGAACCCAGGGGCTTATTTTGCAGCCTCATCTCCCCACAACCAGTTTGAGAGGACCCAGCTTAGAGACTGGGAGAGCTTGGCTCAGGAACCAGCCTTCTGTCTGGGTGAGGGGAGCGAGTGAGGAAGGGGAGGAGGCTCTGGGCTTCTTCAGGCGAGGGGAACCTCCAACTGGACTGTAGGGGAGACTTCAAGAGGTGTTAAAATACCAGGTCTATGACTATGGGGAGGACAGTATGGAGTTTCCTTAAAAAACTAAAAATAAACTTACCATATGATCCAGCAATCCCACTCCTGGGCCTATACCTGGAGAAAACTATATTTGAAAAGACACATGCACCCCAATGTTCACAGCAGCACTATGTACAATAGCCAAGACATGGAAGCAACCTAAATGTCCATCAACAGAGGACTGGATGAAGAAGTTGTGGTATATACAATGGAATACTACTCAGCCATAAAAAAGAATAAAATAATGCCATTTGCAGCAACATGGATGGACCTGGAGATCATCATTCTAAGTGAAGTCAGAAAGAGAAGGAAAAATACCATATGATATCACTTATATGTGGAATATAAAAAAGAAACACAAATGAATTTATTTATGAAACAGAAACAGATTCACAGACATAGAAAACCAACTTGAGACTTGCAGAAACTAAGTACTATACATAAAATAGATAAACTACAAAGTCCTACTGTATACACAGGGAACTATATTCAATATCTTGCAGTAACTTATAATGAAAAAGAATATGAAAATGAATATGTGCATGTATATGTATGACTGAAACAGGATGCTGTACACCAGAAATGACACAACATTGTAAGCTGACTATACTTCAATAAAAAGAAGGCCAAAAAAAAAAAAAAAGATAACAGAAGAAAAAACAGGTCCATGGTTTCACACACAAAGACACAACATGGGGATTCCTCAACTCAGTGTCTTCTAATTTTTAAAAGTTTATGAATAAAATCTTCCAGGAAGTAGAGGGAACACTTTGCCATCGTGATGGATGTAGAGAGCTGGGGGTGATGGTTGGATGAGCCTCAACCTGGGACCCATGTGGTCCTGTTTAGCATGTCTTGACAAAAGGAGCATTTTAAGAGAAGGAGACCAGCTAGAAGTTTTCTAGGTGGAAAAGTGTGCAGAGGGGGCACTGTGGAGTGGGGAAGATAGATAAAGGGAAACTCTCAGCCTCTCAGGCTACATGAGGCCAAATCCATATTAAAATGAGTAGACAATGATAAAGACTGCTGAGAAATGGAAGATTTTTCTATCAGCTGAAAAGGAAACAAAACAAAACAAAACAGAAAACTAGAGTGACAGGGAAGGTAAATGAATAGAAGGGAAGGGGCCAGATCTCATTGGAAGGAGGTCTCAGGAGAAGAGGGAAGACGCTGGCTGCCCTATGTAAACTTAACTTACAATATCCTTAAGGGAGGGCACCCCAGTAGATGGCGGGCTACTGTGGGGGCTTCCGCTTGCCTTGGGAGGGTTACCTTTTCCCCTGACACGGTAAAGGAGCGGGGTTCTTCATTCCCCTTTCCCTAGCGTTGCTGCTGGACCTTCCGGAGAAATTGGTGCAGAGTTCCAGAAAATCAGTGCCCCCGGAGTACTGTGCTGAGCGCGTGGAGCTGGTCATTGCAGAAGCGTGCACGTCGTGGCAGGGAAGTCACAGCGGCCGTAATCCAGATTTGGCTAATAGAGACGTCGGGTATCCATTTCTTTTCCCTCCCTATCCCCCAATTCCTCTCCTGACGCCGAGCGTCGAGACTATTGGTCGCTGCTCCTTTAAGGGCCGCCACTCCTCCCCCACTCCCCAGCGGTGGCACCCAAGAGTGGGGGTGGGGGGTGGTGAGGCTGAGCGTTCTCTCCTGGTCAACTGGGGAAGATGGCCCAGGCCGGGGGAATCGCTCCCACGCCCCGCTGCCCCCACCCCTGAGCCGGTTAAGCTGGGTGATCCCTTCCCTCTCTCCCGCCCCACGCGCGACGCGGGAATGGCTCCGTGGCCTCATGGGAATAGCTCTCTGGCTCCGTGGCCAGATGTCCCCACCCTGGGGCCCAATACTGCCAACGCGAGTGGGCTGCCAGGGGTGCCGTGGGCGGTGGCACTGGCGGGGGCGCTATTGGCGCTGGCGGTGCTGGCCACCGTGGGAGGCAACCTACTGGTAATAGTGGCCATCGCCCGGACGCCAAGACTCCAGACCATGACCAACGTGTTTGTGACTTCGCTGGCCGCAGCCGATCTGGTGGTGGGACTACTGGTAGTGCCGCCGGGGGCCACGTTGGCGCTGACCGGCCACTGGCCCTTGGGCGCCACTGGTTGCGAACTGTGGACCTCGGTAGACGTGCTGTGTGTGACCGCCAGCATTGAAACCCTGTGCGCCCTGGCTGTGGACCGCTACCTGGCGGTGACCAACCCGCTGCGCTACGGGGCGCTGGTCACCAAACGCCGCGCCCGGGCGGCCGTGGTCCTGGTGTGGATCGTGTCCGCCGCGGTGTCGTTTGCGCCCATCATGAGCAAATGGTGGCGCATGGGGGCCGACGCCGAGGCGCAGCGTTGCCACTCCAACCCGCGCTGCTGCGCCTTCGCCTCCAACATGCCCTACGCGCTGCTCTCCTCTTCGGTATCCTTCTACTTTCCGCTCCTGGTGATGCTCTTCGTCTACGCGCGAGTTTTCGTCGTGGCTAGGCGCCAACTGAGCTTGCTGCGCCGGGAGCGGGGCCGCTTCCCGCCAGAGGAGTCTCCGCCGGCTCCGTCTTGCTCCGGGTC